TGATTTTTTATTCAAAGTGCAATAAAGGATAGCTAAAAGTTACTTCATGGAGTAAAAACAGTATATCTCTAGGGCACGATGCCTGCCCCCCTGCCGTGTGCGGTGTAACTCTTCATTGGAATCCTTAAATACTACATTTTCCGAGAAAATCTTGTGAACGGTCAAGTTAGTGTTTGTCTCTCAGTTATATTTTAAACCATTGCATTTGCCGAAAAAGTTTATGTGACGAATGCTCCTGCATATATCTAATACCATCATTAGACTTTGGCTATTCGTGGTATGTTTCACCTCTGTGTTAGAATAATTACGACCGTGTGTATAAAAGTTGATCAACGATTGCATTAAAACAGTTAATGGTTATTGCTTGTAATAACGTGAATGTCCGTCCGCTATACCGTTCGTTAAAGTTTAGTTCTTAATAGGTTCAGGCGAATGAAATGTTGTGGTTCATTTCACTCGATCGTGATGCACCAAACGGCAGCATAATCTTAGAACCTCATACAAAGGTAAGAACATTTTAAAAATTGGCAGAAGTTTTGCATCGTAAAGACACGTCAATAATTCGAATTATTTGTAAAATTTCACGATTTCTGCCGGTGACCTATGTTGCTAAAATCGTCGATCGTATTCAGTTTTCGAAAGCTAAAAGCCGACAACTGTTGACTTAAAACGATGATACGCAACACCTAAAAATTTCAGTCCTTAAATGCAACCCTGATTTTGACACATTAATCACAACTGAAACTAAAATGATAATCTTGGACACGACAGTAAGAAAGCGTGCCCGTTGGCGTGAACTGCGACTCTGGTTATTGATGGTTCACCTCTAAAGATCGAAACTCTACTTAATTAAACTTCGATCTCCAGGTTTTCAATAAATTGCTCGTCATCTTGATATGTTTGCTACCTTCTCTGAAGTAGATTAATTTCCTTTAAAACTGCTCTCTTATGAAAGTTAGCTGTTATGTTCCTCATACAGGAACGGAGAGGTCATATGCAACTTGATCTATTCTCAGGGACACTCCCTTCACTAAAAAACGAACATGACTTCAACTAGTGCCGGCTTGTTCTTGTAAGATGTTCCGATAAAATTCTACTTCGCAGGGAAACCGAGGGATAAAATATTTACCACAGAAAAAATTTTAGTTGTATACCCGAAAGCAGGATTTCTGCCAAAACGATCACAAAGGCCCAGGTTTCCTACGAAAGGGAAAAAAGTCTTCGTCATCGATATCACTTTAATCAACGATAACCTGTTTGTAAGGGCATATTTGTCGGATTTACCAAAACTAAAGGATAACTTGTATAATTTGCTCACCAGTAATTCAAAACTGAGACATTTGTGACATGGGTTAACACGAAATAAGAATGTGTTCACACCAATTAACGACATGAATCATTGGCATTTTGTCTTCTTATGTAATTAAAACGCTTACAGATTTGTAGTAATTAGAAGTCCTGTTTCTAAAACAACAGTATTTTAATGCGATTTCTTGAATAGTTTAATTGTGAAATGAAGCTGAGCCACACTTATTTTTTTCCTTAGAAAAACATTGGTCTAAATATTGAATTTTTCTAAGAGAAAGGACAGCAATTATTGAGAAAATAATATGGCATCAGACAAAGACTACGTTGCGGAAGGGTGCCTGAGTTGGGAAGAAATCATTATAACTGCGTTCATAAAATTCACGTGGGAACGTTAACTTCAAATTAATCCATTGACGGAGCAAAATGTTCCATTACTTAATTCTTTATTTCAGCAAATCGATTAATGATAAAAACCCAATCCAATGCTTGGTAGTGTTAGCAGAGTAATACTGTCTGATCAGCTTTATGGTTTTTCGTTCCGCGTGGCCATGGGTACTAAAATGGGACCCAGCTACGCCAATCTTTTTGTAGGTTTTATCGAACTTCAATTTTTTAGCCAATACCACGGCCCAAAACCTCAACTCTATGGCCGCTATATTGACGATTGCATCGGCGCTACCTCCTCTACCAAAGAGGAGCTCACTCAATTTATAACCGCCGTCAATGATTCCTTTCATCCGGCTCTTAAATATACCTGGGAAATTTCCGACACTCCTTTGGCTTTTCTAGACATCAAAATTTCAATTGAAGGCAAGGGTTATGTACTAGTGTTTACTACAAACCTACAGATTCACATAGTTACTTGTTGTATTCATCCTCACATGCATCACACGTCAAGAACTCCATACCTTTTTCACAGTTTCTCAGACTTCGTCGTTTATGTAGTGACGACTCTGATTTTTCCGAAAAATCAGAGGCAATGTGCCAGTTTTTCGATAAACGTGGCTATCCTGTTTCTGTCGTTCAAGCGGGCTAACACCGTGCCCAACAAATCGATCGACAGGCAGTACTACAAACGGCCGAGAAGGAGAACACTGACCGCATTCCATTTACTCTTACATTTCACCCTCACAACCACGCAGTTAAATCTATCATTCTTAAAAATTTTAAATTACTCCAAAACGATTCAGAGACTGGCACTATCTTTTCGCAACCCCCACTTATTTCATTCAAACGTGACAAAAACATAGGCAACTTTTTAGTCAGGAGTTCATTTCAAACCAATGACCAATCTGGAACTTTTAAATGTGCTCGCTCACGATGCAAAACTTGTCCTTTCATTCATAACGTAGAGAAAATATCGGGACCCAAAAGATCCATTAAGATCATTGATCACTTTACGTGTACCTCCGCCAATGTTATTTACTGCATAACTTGCACTTATTGCAATAAGTTATACATCGGCGAAACAGGAAGACGACTGGGTGACCGATTCCGAGAACACCTTCGCGATGTGGAAAGAAATGACAAAGACGCATCCAAACCAGTCGCTAGACACTTTAATCTTCCTTATCATTCTAAACAGCATATGGCAGTTTGCGGCCTTTCCTTACATCTAGGCAGTTCGGAAAGCCGTAAAACACTAGAACAAAAATTTATATCCCAAATCGGCACCCTTAATCCCCACGGAATCAACGAGCGCTTTTCATTCAACTAATTATTCCTGTTTTCTCGTCACCATATTCCCACCAATGGCGTAGCTCCACTTTCTACATATAAATCCACACACAACCCACAATTCCTCTAATCGCTCTGACGAAGGGCTAACGCTCGAAACGTCAGCTTTTTTACCCTTTACTTTGGCTAATTTACGTTTTCAACCCAGTTGTTAACACTAAATTACCTGCTATTATGTGGCAAGCCTCATACCCATTTTGCAAATAAGACTCAATGAGACTTCAATTTAAAACCATGTAGATGTATGAAAGGTCCAAAGGTCTATTAATTAGGTAAGGATTATCCTCGAAGATATATGTATATATATATATATTGTTTATTTTATTACCGGTGACCGGATGAGAGATAATACAACTTTTATCTTGTAGTATATTACTCACTCGAATCTAAATTTCGCCTCATTTTCAGTACAAAGTAGAACTTTTAAGACTTAGAGGTTGTTGGCAAGCCAACTTAGAAAATGTGAATAGTATTGCGTTATAACTGGACCATTTTCAGTTTAACCCAAGTTAAGCCGTGCATAATATCTCTCAAGTTGAATGACTTGTTCTCCGATCGTTTCTTTTTCTGCTAACTGAAAGTTATACACCAGATACCTTAAACATCGGCAGTAATCGCCCTCATATGAAAGGTGAACTTGAGTATCGTTGCCAAGTTCAGCGAAGTTCAGATTGACAGTTTCAACCTACCTATTTTTAAGGACTTTTGCTTTTAAGGAAGATTTAATAAATTGTTTTGCAATAAAACATCACGGGTAGTTTTCTGCTGTGATTTTAAAGAGCAGCTACCATTTGATAAATAGAGAAGTCTTGACTGTGCTCTGTTTTGTTGTAAATCACGCAGGAAGCGGCTAGAGCACGAAAGAAATGTAGAGAGAAATATGAGACGTAGTCGCTCTGACACCGTCATGATTAGCATGAATTTTAACAGTTATTCCACTTAGGCTGTGTTTTTCATCATTCCTGTTTTTTTCTGTTTTGTTTATATACCATACGAGTGTTAGCTGTGATTTTTGTTACCTTTCGTAAGCTTGCAATCTAACTGAGCATGAAAACCCTCGAGACTCGGACGGTCCATTTCGTTTCCTCTTTGAGAATTTTCGTCTCTGCTCACTTTATAATAACGTAAAGTACGACTCTTGGTATGATTAAAAACCTATTTCTGGTTCTTCTGTTTCAACTCACGGGCTCGCTTTTTCCGAAATTTCACTTTCAATCAACGAAAAAAAAAACTAAAGAGAAGTCCGGGGAATGGATTGTAATCGAATTCTTCTGGTTGCAGAATTTTCAAGCAATCATGGCCAAGGAGCAGTAAGCATGACTGGCAGAGCGATTAATAAGATTAAGCTCAAATATGAGCATCTCGTTACCAGGCCACTGTAGCTAGGTGGAAGGATTATCAATAGCTTCGCGTTCAGTTCAGTTCTAAGTCAAGACTTCGCGGCCACGTGGCGTCTATTTTCCAGTCTTGGTTTCCTCCTTTTGTAAATGATGCCAACGTACGAAACTGATTCAAGGGTAAGGGAATTTCGACGGCTCGGAAAAGCAAAAACTAAGACACTTCGATGTGTTAACATAATATATCAGACTAAGACGCACCAACAATTTTAGGTCGACTTTGCGTTCCGAAATTCAAAATTGTCACGCAATCGTCTGAATTTCACATAAATCTGTCTTTCGCGGGACGTCTCGTGGGTGACCGCTAATACTGATTTCACAGAATAGAAAAACGAAAGGATGGAAATTAAAAAACAAAATTTGTCATTTTTGGCCACTAAATTTGCAAAATCTTGCTTAAACTACTTCTGACATGGACTAAAGGAGGACAAAAAATTGTCAACGACAGACGTTAGACGGTAGACGATGAATTGTGTGACATCGAACAGGAACTCAGCAACTAATGCTCATGCATTAGAGGCGGATAATCCATGCTTAGAAAATTGACGGACTCGGAGGTAAGCTGCTCTGCATATTTTATTAAACGATAAGTATAATGTCAGCCATACAAACAATTTACGAAAACATTACATTTTACCCAAAGTCTCTAAAACTGTTATATAATTGTCACTAATGAAACTTGCTTGATCAGCACACGACCAAACTCAATGCATCCTTTTTTCTCGGAAAACTTTACTACAGTCGCACACAAAAATTTTGTGAGGTATTGATGCACGTTTGGTGCCCTTTTGATCAATCAAAATTGCGAAATAATTTTACACTGATGAAAGATTCAGAATATTTTTCATTATGAACCGAAGCACCGAATAACACTGAGCAACACTGAGTTCAAAAGTCGCATGCGATCACTGCTCAGGTAAAAACTATGGCCACTATCCAAATCAATCTATAACGCTAAATCGCTAAAAGAAACCTCTTTATTCTACTTAATTTTAATTTCAAATTAAACGTAAGATATGGTTAACTAACATATAAGCCTACTTCTTGAAAGATGCATGTGTACTGAATCCCTTAGCTCGATGATATAACTTCTATTAACTGATAACACTGTAATTTTTAATAAGAGGTGCTGGCTTCAATCGGACTTTACTTTTAGCCACTTTACCTGACTACACGATGTAGTCAGGTAAAGTGCCACTCAATTTCTACTTCTTGTTTGGAGAAGGAGGCGATCGCTTTATCTTCTTTTTAAATGCTTACACAACCAGCCTAATCATAGGCCTCAATTGCTTAGAAAGCCCAGGATATCAATGATTCCTAGCTTAATGGACACTGAAATTGAAGACAACTAAAACTCAAATTATTGATAACTAGGTAACCGATTATCCAGTGGTTTGAGTTATCCACCTTCGCTGCCTTTTAAATTTCAGGAAAGTGCACCTTCTCAGGGCAAGTAGTAAAAATCAAATGAAGAATAAAGTAGTTTATGAGTATATATAATAGTTTGTGCTATACATGTAAAGTATATGTGGTCATATTCGTAAATAATATTGATCTCAATATGCACTGGCAAAAAAAGCGAGATATCGTTGTCTGTTCTCATGTTACAATCGAGAGGATTGCACATATGACTAGTAATCGATTAGCATGATTCATACCTGCGCTGCATTTTAGCTTATTCAAGTTCGTCCTAATGAAACCAAAAATAATTTTTTTCCCTAGAGTTTAATGCATGTTACCTTATCTGAAAGAAAGTGAGTTTTTTTTTTTTAATTTTGACATACACCTTTTGCTGAGAGAGACGCCAGCCTGAGCCTCCGCACAAGTAGGATATGCATCGGCTGGTTTCAGACTTTCAGTTCGCATTCGTTTCATCTAAGATTATTTAATAAAGAAGAAAATTATTTTACACGCCTAATTGAACCAGTTCGAGTAAGCAATTCTCTGGGTTTCAGCAACTAGTTCTGAGTAATTTTGGTGAATTGATAATAGTTTGTTGCAAAAGTTCCTCTTGGCTAACCATCCTCTCAACACCAAGCAGATGCCGGTAACAGAGACTGCAGCCCCAAAGAGAAGGGCTGTAAAGGAGGAAAAGTGACCATGAATTGAAATGAGACATACGGAAACATAATAAAGATTAGCCCTGTCAAAAATGATGCATATGTGTACGTAGCGAGCCAATAAATCTAAAGGAGTGTCGAAGTCAAACTCAATGGCGATTCACCTGAGGGTCGAAAGTTATACTTGGTGAAATTGTTGGGAATCACAATCCAAACCAATGAAACGAGACAAGTTCAACCACGACTCTTTCAACCCCTAGGTGATACTTACGGATCAATCACTTTTACAGGAGCAATTTTTTAGCCTTTCAAAAACATTAATCGACCTTTAATATAATTTATCAAAGACATACAATTTCGCGATGGATTGTGAGCTTCGACTCACCCCCTCGCCCACCCGCGTTACAATGAGGGAAAAAGGTTCAAATTCTAAAAAACAAAATCGACGAACTGAGAGCATTCTTATTTAATGAGCATAACGGTGAAGTTTTTAAATTATGAGAAAAGATAGGTTGCAAGTGATGTTGCTACAAAGTACCTATTATTTCGGATGGCAAAGGAAACCTCGTACATCCATTGCGGTGTATACATTTTTTTAAAAATTCTATCATGTTTTGTTTGTTTTTTGTTTTTTTTTAAATGTATTTATTCTTCCTTTTTTAACCTTTTTCGATCAGTCGGCTGTCCACTACCAATTCACGAGACTGTTATTAAGTTTCCATACCGCGTATTAGTTGTATGAGGCCATTTTCCCAGGTCGACAGGTAAAATTGGTTTAATACTGAAGTCTTCATTAAAGCAATCGTACGTTTTTGTACTGAAAGGAAGTGAGGCAAAATCAAAGCTCAGAATCTATCGAAGAATTAGGTCATTATGAAAAAAATAAAAACATAACTAGTCATAAATAATAAATGGCAAAAAAAAAAAAAGAAGTGAACAATCCTTGATATGCTGCTTAGATATTGCTAGAGCGTTTTGCCTCTTCCGTCCTTAGGGCATCGATACAAATCTCCAGGGTTTTGCTGTGATTTTGTTCTTCCACAAATTTCCTCTTAAGTTCCATGAGCCTGGCCCTAAATTTGGAATTTTGTAGGCGCAACTTGTCGTTCGATTTCCCTTTGAAGTAGCCGTAAATTCCACCAGAACCTAATGAAGCAACAAACCCACCTGCGGCTCCGCCCCCGATCAAAGGAGTAGCACCAATTCCCGCCGCTGCAATTGCACTGGCGCCAGATGCGATTGCTCCAGCTCCACCGGTAAATACTGAAAGGAACAACAAAAGAATTAAATTTCTCTAGGAATGACCGCTTACGGCGCTATTGGAAGCGTAGGACCGTCATATCACATGTATTTATCTGAACCTTGCTAAACAATTAAGCTTTAGTTTTCTATACGACTAGTTTTTATTTTAGCAGAATCAGGACCCTTTCAAGTTTATCGCGAGGAAATCTGCACTCATATTTATGCGTCGGTTTTACGAGTATTACTTTCACTTCGCCATGACGCCCCGACCAAATGATATCAGCTGCATGGGTTACCAAACTTCAAATCAGTCTGCGCGCGCTCTTCGGTGTACCGCGGGCTCCGCTCTTATAACTAACTACTTAACAACTATAACTGGAAAGGGCTGCAGAAAGAAAACAATTGCACTTCTTAAAGTTTTTCTTGTATCATTTTGCAAAATTCAAGGATTGGTGTTATTTTTTAAATGGTTTCATTACAGTTACTGTGATCGAAACGCGACGTAAGTGTTAGAAATTTCAAAGCACTAACGGTGTACTTTCTAGTGGCTGAAAAAAAAAGGTTTTCTGGAGCATGCTACTCCTGAAATTACCTGTGGTACCCACCACGAACAAACCGACCATCCACTTCATTTTGTAGCTTTCCCGACTCAAGTAATCTTTTATTTCTTTGTCAAACTCTGTAAGGACTCCCTCGGTGTCTTCCATATAGCAATTCCATGTGTTCAACTCCCCATCCAATTCATATTTCTTAAGCTCCAACGACAGTACATATTCTCTCGACAGCTTGTAATCCACTTGGTGTGCTTCATCAATCTATAAGCAGTCAGGACGACGCATCAGTTAGCGGAAGGAAAGTTTAACTGCTAATTAACCTGAATTAACAATTCGGTTCACAAGCTGCAAAGAACGCACAATGATGGGCCAACGAGACTTTTTCTTCTATTTGCACCCACACTTTGAGAAACAAAAGGACGTCTTACATGATGGCCCCCGTCGCAGGACCGTAAATGTTTTTAAATTAAAGTTGAATAAAGTTGGCACGTGATCTGATTTCCTAAAAGTGAAACTTATGTATGAAATCTCACCTTTGATTTAATGAATTGGTATAAATTCGCCACTTTCTTCTGCGCTCTCTCGACGGCATTTAGATGATCCTCTAGATTTTGGATTATAGGTTCAAATAACCTCGGCACTTTTTGGGGAGCTTCTGACTTCTTCATGCTTGTGGCCACGCTTGCTAAGATTGCACTTTTCGCCGTAAGAAAAATGTAGTCAGTTTTAGTGATCAAATCACGCAACACATTCTTAATAAAGTCACTTCCTTTACTGGAATTTGCCTTTGCCACTTTACGAAACGACTCTTGCAGCTGAGCAATGATTTCCAGGTCCTCGGACTTGCCACCTACTTCCGACATTAACTTCGTGATTCCCTCCAAAGTCCTATGCCAACAAATTTCATCCGCAGCCATGATGATTGCCGGTAGGTTCTGAAAAAAAGGAAATGTCTGGATTTTCTTAGGTGACCTTGTTTTTGAAAATATGTTGTGAAGCTTAGGTCTCTATTGTGTTTTTATTTTTAAGACATAGTCTGGAAATGAACTGATGCCGTATTGTTCTTAAAAAAAATTATTAAATTTCTGTCCTCGGGCATTTGGGGTTCCAAGCTATTTGGAAATTGATATCCAGGACAGAAAAATTGTTGTGATATCAGATCCGTAAGTTCATGACTTTTACACTGCGAGTTTACATACTTCCAGGAAGTCGTGCGTCTGTTCATTAATAGATCACTGATGACGTCAACATTAATTTCCTAGCGCTCCAGAGTACTGGTCATCGAATTTTAAAAGTGATGAAATGTGCTTTAAGCTTTACCCTGATCAAATGCGGTTGGAGAATGTTCTGCTTTCAAAAAAGCTTTCCAAATATTGGAGAAAATTGCTGCACAGTAAATACTACTTCAAATAGGTGATATGTCTCCAAACGATTTATTTAGGCCCATAGCAACTTATCCAATTGTGCGGCAAAAAAGGGACAAAACACAACCATTAAAGCTGGACGAAGTTAAAGTCAAATGCACTTCTCCTCTCTACCACTGATTACGTTTGTTACCGTAAAGCGTAATCCTAATCCTCGAACTGAACTTGCCGCAGTTATTGTCAAGTAATTGCCATAAATTATGCTAATTATCCTGCTTTTAGGCATTCACAGATTTATCTAGGACTATATCTCACGCTCTCTCAATAAAAACTAACTCCACTTAATAGACCTTGGCTAAACAGAAAACCTCCAATGGCCTCAAAGAAACAACTAGGATATTTTCAGGGAAATTTCGTCGGCTAGTGTTGCCTGGGTCCGTTTACCGAATATTTTTTTTATATCTTAGGGCTCTGTGCGTTGCAGATGGTCGCCGTACGAATGTAATTCTGCTTATTCACCACACTCGATATCCGTCCAATCTTTGCTCCTTTTCCCCCGCCTCGAATGTCAAGCGTGATGGTATAAAATGGTGTTTAACTTTCTCTCGCAGGGTGTATTAGGCGACAAATCTATTGATCGAGCTTGAGAAACAAGCGGAAACTCAATTGCCTAACTGACTTGTACCGTTGTAATTGTGTTGAGACAGCCTTATGCGTGATCCTGGAAAACAATTATTATACTCTGGGAACAATCCTTACATTATGTGGACTATGCGCAATGAAACTTAAAAACTTAGTTAAAAACCATCGAGCAGCTCAAGTGAGCTGAATATTTGTGTCGAATAAGGAGAATTGTCGAAGAAAATAGTACTACAACACCATGTGATCCCTTGACATGATTATACTCATTCTATTTCCTTGACAGCAGCCTTTTTCGGGAAAAAGGGCCGGAAATTATCCTTCGTTTAATTCAATTGACTTCATAACCTTCACTTTCGAAGACAAATTAATTGATGCATAAATTACCACAAAAGTTAGAAGTGATACACCTAGTTGGCATAATTTTTTCTGCGAATATTGAAATAAGCCTCGCTGCGTAGCTGGGCTGTTTTGCCGCGTATTATGAACTAAATTTGCTAAAATAACAAGTTCTTCAAAACAAGGAATTCCAGCGCCTGATTAAATAGTCTGATTTACGTTAAGCAGCTTTGGAAACATGTTGGTAAAAATTGGTACCACCGTGTTGTTTAGTAAAGGTAAATGTAAATCGATCCATGAAAACGACGAAAAGGTCTTGTAACAGAATTACTCGTTTCTAGAGAACTGTATTACGAGGAATTTTTCCCGGCTGCAAAAGGAACGAATTGAAAAAATTGAACTGATTTAAAGTTGAACCCTCATTTACGATCAAGCGATAGACCTTTGTGTCTGTAAGTAAGGTGTTTGAGACACTGGAGCAACTGTAGACTTATTGTTTCCCTAACGAATTTGTCACACAAGACTTTTTGGAATTTACTCTTTGCTAAAGATTAAGCACGTCAGTAGAATAAACGGCGCCAAAGTGTATCATAAAGTGTTTACGTATGAGGTGTAAGGTTGAAATCTTTAAATGAAAACCACTCGATCTCAGTTATGCTTAAAATTTGTCACAAAGCTAATTAAAATTCCATAACCTGTGTTCTCTGTTGGAAAAGCTGTAGCACAGGGATCACGTGATTCATAAGCAGAGGATCATGTGATTTCTTCATGATCAATTCTCACGAATTCCATGAATAATAAAACGGAAAAGCCCTTCCGCACACTGGATCTCGACTTTTGGTTAGCTTCTTTGAATTATTGCATAGAATAGAGATCTCTGAATTGGTGACGGAAATGCAGCGCAACGGCTACAGAAACTATTGTCGAAGTAAGCATGGAATCAGCCGTTTGTTAATTAGCAAATAAAAGTGACCCTTGGATTGCCTCTTTAACTGCAAATAGAGTAACAAAAGCAATGGAAATACAACTTTTGATAAGTTTCCTAGGAGAGAGCAACGCAAAAGAATTTGTCTTTTTATCATCCATGACTGAGTTACGCAAGGCCTGCAGCTATTTTGGTATTCACCTCACTCCCTTTGCAGCAGCATTGTGCGGAAACCGAAATCGCGTTTTGAACTATGCGCACAAATTCTACACCGCAACTTACCTCAAGGTTAATTAAAATTACCGTAAAGGGATAGGAAACTCTCGCAATTTTTTGCTCTTCACTACTGTAGAGAGAAAGCGCTACCTCGTTCAGAGATCTCCGCGTGTGAGCCTCGCCTTCGTCAGTCAACAACAACTAGCATGGATTTTAGAACTATTCCTTAATATGGATAAAGAAAGAACCAGCTAACGAATCAAATCAGAATTATCTGAAACCCGTCAAACTGGTTCTTGAGCTATTTGAATTGAACTTGCAGAACTGAGCGCGTCCCGATAAGTCGCACACTTGTTTTGAACGGCACTTACTGATGTGAATTGTTAAGTCCACCTTTATAGGTTGTGATCAAATTCCTTTGATTATTCCTCCTTTCTCGGAGTCAAAGTTATTTTGCATAAATGTCTCAATGTTAGCGTGTCAACGAACTGTGTTAACGAACTATGTTAACGTCTTAACAAATTATGAAAACTGAAAACAGCTTTTTTCCGAGAAAATTCTGTCTTTAAAAAAATATACTCGGTTTTTAGTAAAAAAGTTCCTAGTAACTATCTGAAGAAAAGACAAAAATTCAAGACGTCGAATATTATTTTCTTTACCAAGATTTTAAACCCCACTAACTCAGATCGTTCAAAAATATATCCAACCATGACGCAAAAACTCTTTTTCCCATCGCTTTGATCTCACTTTAAATATATTCGCAAAAACGTAATTAATTGTTCATAGAAAAAGTCCAAGTCCTAATTCCAATATTTAGGAAGTTGCCTGATGTTCTCTTGCTCAGAACGAAACCAAGCGATGTGATTATCACTTCATATCTGATTCAACCACATGTAATGCAAAAAATCTTATTCGATCTCATCAAAATGGTATCTCAGTCACTTGAAACTGATTCGCAAGCACCCTTTTCTAAGAAATGGTTTGTGTTTTAATAATTCAATTAATTTCCTCAGTTCACTAATGAAGACATTCTTTCTGATCACCACTGTTACTGAAAAAACGTCTGATTGAAGGACAGAAAAAAGTTCACGGCTTGATTTGGTCTTTTCTTGAAAGATGACCCTGCATGATCTTGGTAGAAAAATTGATATTTTTTCAAAGGTGTAATGAGTTGAAGTCAGGTGCAATAATTTATGAAATTGCATCTGGAGCTGTCGAGCTTTCATAAAAAAAGATTTAGCCAAAGAAATGAGTGATACACTGAAAGTATTTAGATGCATTTGTTCGATGTTACTGGTATAACTGTTCAATGGTCTTTAGAGGGGCATATCAGCCAATACATATTTGGCTTTGATTTGGCTTCTTCTTCTGCTCAGTCTAGAGTAAAACCTTTCTTGAAGGGAGCTGAAAACTAGACAAAAATTAGTGCAATGTTTCCTTTTGCAAAGAATTTAATTCCTCACCTGGTTGCAAACCTACATAAACTTTGCGCAAGAGCTGTTTTACCGAGAGAAAAGCAAGCAGTAGTAGTGGACTCGAAAAAATATGAAATGTTATGTATATTTGCGCGACAAAAACGAGACAAAAAATTGTGTAATGTTTCCTTTTACGAAGAATTTATCCCTCACTTGGTTGCAAACTTGTATCAACTTTGCGCAAAAGCTGTTTTACCGAGAGAAAAGCAAGCAGTAGTCGTCGAATCCAAAACTGACGAAATGTTATGTATATGTTCTATTTTCCTAGAAACCTTGTTGGATGCGAATGCTCTACTTTTCCACTTGCCGAGATATCATCCAAACGTATAAACAATTTAGGTGGCAAAGGCTCCAAAAAGTAAAAGTCTCGCGAAGATAAATTTTTGTTAAATTCAACAGATCTCAGTGTTGTTGTTTGATCGTTTCTCTCCCTTTCTTGATCAGTATAAATCTCGTAGTGTTACTCGAATAAAGTTTTGCCACAATTATGCTATCGGAAAAATACCTCAATACTACTTATCTAATATGCTATTATTTTAGGAAAAGAAACGTCATTCGAATCATATATCTCCCAAGTATAAACGTGAAGAAAGTTGAACGCTTACAACCCAACAATAAATGTAAAGAGCGAAACAACTCAGTCTTGTATTTGACGGAAATAAAGTTTGTCACTTCAAGAGCAACCTCTGGTGGAACTCCTTACACTTTCAAAAAAAAAAACCGATGAAACATCTCTATTAAAAGTTCATACATAATTTTTACCCTCAAATCTTTTTACTGAATGACGAGACGCCTACCGG